ATAAGAAGCTTTTTTCAAAGAGGTAAAGGGTAGAATATGGTTGGATAGGTGAGAGAAGGGTCCTGGAATTATCCAGAGAAACTATATAGTCTAATTACTCCTGAGAGAAAGAGCTGAAAATGTCGGTAGGTGTAGAATTTACATTTACAGAATGGACTTGTTGTGAGTGTTTAAGCAAGCTGGCGACCAGACTTAATCAGGTCAGTGTTCTGGGGAAAAAAGAGAGAAAAGAGAAAGAAGAAGAAAAAAAGAAAGAGAAAAAAAAAGGGGGAGAGGGAAAAAAAAGGGGGGAGGAGGGCAGCTCTCAGGCAGGGATGGGCGTAGCGGGATCCAATGCCTCAGGCGGGAGCTCTGCCTTGGCGGTTGTGGGGAGGAGAGTGACGGTGCTCCAGTCCCTTCTCGAAGCAAGCGCCGCACCTCGCTTTTTTGGGCGTGTAAACTCCCCGTACCGGGGGCGCAGCCGAAGTTGGTTGCACTCTTCAACCCAGGCCAGTTCCAATCTCCAAATCCCAGTCCGTGCGCCCCGCTGAAATTGCTTTAGACACAGCTTCCCACGCAACCCCCTCGGGCAATTCCCGGCCCCCTGCGGAGCTCTGGGGGTGGAGTCAGAATCGCTGCTTCTTTCTCTGTGTGAGGCTGGCGAGCATGCGCGGGGGCTTGCCTGCCGGGTGCGCTGAGCCCGAGCCCGCTGGAGTGAGGAAAACCGGGTCCCTCTATGGCTCGTCACCTGAAACACGAACTCACAGGCTAATTTCCCAGTTTTTAGTTCTTTGCCTTCCCTCTCGAGTCCCAGCCCGCCAGGAGCGTGGACGCCCGGTGTCCGCGCGGCTCTTTCAGGGGCCCCAGCCGCCCAGGAGCTACAATGGCGTCAGGCGCGCCGCTACTCTGAAGTACAGCTACCAGGAGCCAGCACAAAGCAGCAGTCTGTGTGCTCAGCCCCCCCCCGGGACCAGTTGGCGCCAGGGGACCTGGTGTGCAGGTATTTGGCAACTACGGTCTTTCTATGCACCGAGCGGAGGTTTTTCCCACCCAAGAGGAGGTTTTTCTGTTTCGGACTCTCTCCTTTTCCCCTCTCACTCCCCGTAGAGGGTAGAGGGGGATCGCCTCCCCCGCTGGAGTCTCCGATCCCGGCCCGATTTTATCTTCCCCAGTTTGCAGTCACGTTAGAAGTCTTTCTCAGTGGATTCTGCGTCCTTTTTCTCCCAATCTCTCAGGTTTTGTAAGGTTTCCAATGGCTTCAGATCTTTTCTGTGTGATGTATGGGCATGTGTGCAAGTACGGAGCTCCTTACTTCTCCGCCATCTTGCCCCCTCTTCAAGGTGACCCAGTTTCTTACCGGGTCGTTCAGTTCACATCCTGGAAGTGAAGACTAAAGGGACTTGGGAGTCGGTCTGTGCTGCCCGGCTCTTCCCTGCTTAGGCTTCCTACCCGCAGTTCTCACTGAGCAGGACGCTCCCTCCAGCCTAACGCTCTGTGCCGCATGGCACCCAGCACGTTTCTCCACTTGCTCTGACATGATGCCGTGTGCACCGTACAGGGATCCGCCTGAAGAGTTCCTGGAGATGACATTTTGTGAGAGCAACTGTTGAGCCTCTGGGATGGTGGTGGGGGAACAGAAACCCAGAGTCAGTGGCGACAGATGGTGCACCGACAGTGCCTCGACTGCTTTGTTAGTGGCGTCCCATAAGCTGTTCCCCTCCTACGTTCATGAAGTCATGATGAACTAACGCGGAGTAAGAGAAATGACAGGTTAACTTGCCTTTCATTTGTTTTCCATAATAAATGGAATATTTCCTTGAATGCTCTAAGTCATTAACATTTCAATTTATTCATGCTCTTTCTCTCTGGCATCCTAATGGCAATATTCCATAATTATATCTGCCATACAGCTATCAAGTTTGATGGCTCTTTGCATGCCCATAAGCACTGTTCCCACTGCCTCTGTTAGCCTGTGGGTTGAGGAGGCAGTAGTTTTTGCACATGGATTGCTAAACAGGGAAACAATGCCATTGAGTTCATTGATGAGGAACTGGAAGGGGACCCAAGCTAACGCTTGCCATGTACTAGGCGCCGTATACGTGTGTATTAATTTATTTAATCCACCTACAACCCCATGGCTGAGTCTTAATATTACCCCGTTCACTTCTAATGAGGAGGAAGCTGAGGCACAGAGAGACTGAACAACTAGCTCGACCTTACACTTGGTTAGTAAGTGGCTAGGTGGAGCTCTCAACCTTGCAGTCTGACTCCAGAACACACACCCTTCCTTACGACATCAGGTCAGCCCTGCGGACGTGGAGTGTGGGCAAGTATCAGTGGCCTTTCTGTACAACCTTCTATACCTTCTCTCACATATCATAGTACTGCTGCTGTTTTGGGTCCTTGGGTTCAAGAGGGTGGGAGAAAAGGTGCAAAGTGGTAAACCAGCATGATTAAGTACTCACAGCCTTGCATCCAACATCCGAATTGCAGATCTGTGTAAAGGCCCATGGCCTTCGAGAAGGTGTTAGGTTTAAAACCCATGAAGATATAAACAAGCAGGAATTTTAAGGAGCGGGTTTAAAATGCCGTCGCCCCAAGTTTTGCCACGTGAACTATAAGGGCCATCAAGTTTGAGGCCATGTGCAGTCATCAGGCATTCCTGAAGAGCAGGCCACTTTCTGAACGCACCCATATTGCTACTTTAAATCACAAGTGAATTTTCAACGGGGCTTCCACAAATCAGGCCCTGAGTATTTCTCAGTGCATCTGTTAGAACACACCAAACTCTGGCTGGACATATGCCAGGTGGGAACTTAAGGCAGCACCAAAGATGTGTATATGTTCCCTTTAAAGTGGTACCTCAAAATAATTATGTCTGTGCTTTTAGCCTTAGAAGCACAAACCAAGGCTACTGATGTGAGGAGGAAAAGAGGCTCAGAGCAATATTTTAATTTTAGAAAACAAGTCTTCCTGTCAAAGAAACTGCCCTCCTTACTTCATTAAAAATTACCCCACGGAGCACTGGGTGGCTCAGTCGGTTGAGCGTCTGACTTTGGCTCAGGTCATGATCTCACGGTTCGTGGGTTCAAGCCCTGCGTTGGGCTCTGTGCTGACAGCTCAGAGCCCGCAGCCTGCTTTGAATTCTGTGTTTCCCTCTCTCTCTGCTCCTACCCAGCTCGTGCTCTGTCTCTCTCACACACAAAAATAAAATAAACATTAAAAATAAAATAAAATAAAAATTACCACATTCTCTTAAAATGAGAATTCAACTAATATTTCTTAATGCTTGCTCATCGTTAATATTATGCCAATTACTGCATTACTTTCAGTTAATAAATATTCAGAGGATAAAAGAAGCCCACAAGATGGATTAATTCTCCAGCAGTACAAACAAAAACTTTCAATATTTTATATCACATAATTAAATGCTATTTGTTGTTTCTAGAACCAGAACCTGGGACGTGTTAATTAATTGCTTCAAGAAGACAGTTAGACATGTTTCATGGTTGATATTTGGAATCAGATATTTATAAAGCCCGCAACAACACTGCTGATGAATTACACTTGCAGAATAAATCCTACCTGCAGAAGTCTGGGGGCACCATGCCATAAACATTGATCCTGTCACAGAGCTCCAGTGCAATTGTCATTGTGAACCAGCCAGTGCTGAGCCAAGTGTTAGAGATCTTCCTGGAAGGAACAACAATTAAGTCCACAAGCTGGTAAAGTAATCATTAGAACCATTACCAACTTAAATCCTTTCTGGAACAAGGCTGATAATTAACACCCCCCCACCATCCATTTGGTAAATAGCTGAAACTTGATCTGATAGAAATCTCGTACCAATAGCATCATACTCCATGGCAGAGTGATAGATGATATTTGTGTTCCACCATGGTGGATTAGAACACTAAAGTATGCTCAAGCGACTCCTTCATCACCAAAGATGATGATCAATACGGCCACAACTCAATTTCCTTTAAGAGGACAATCCTCATGTGTCAACTCTTTCTTTATTAACTAGAATATTTGACTAATTGGAAATATTACGTATTCCCCAGGCAGGCCGAAATAATGAAGAGCTCATTAAATATGCATAAACATATACATGTATCTATCTATTGATTGATATCTACTGATCAATCAAATGTTCTTAGGTAAAATCGTGCCTTCAACTAGACTAAGTAACATCGACATCTTGACTGAATGTCTTTCCTTAGGACAAGTATATTCATTTGGGAAGGGACTTACTACCAGAGGAAAAGGACCACAGGAATGCTTAGGCTTAATTGAGCATTTACTTTGTTTTGCCTCAGAACATTCAGAGCCCTCTGAAAGTTTTTTCTTTTTCTTTTTTTAAAAAATTTTTTGTAGTATTTTATTTATTTTTGAGAGAGAGACAGCATAAGCAGGGGAGGATCAGAGAGAGACGGAGACACAGAATCTGAACACAGGCTCCAGGCTCCGAGCTGTCAGCAGAGAGCCCAACGCAGGGCTCAAACCCACTAACCGTGAGATCATGACCTGAGCCGAAGCTGAACGCTCAACTGACTGAGCCACCCAAGTGCCCCTGAAAGTTTTTTCTTAAAATACCAAATTGACAAAACTTAAGGAATATTCTAAAAGGAATGTTCCTAAATTCATTCATTTGCCCATTCAAACATCTGTACTGAGCTCCAGCCACGTGCCAAGCCTAAGGATAACTGTGGAGACATAACATCAAGGTCTAATTTGACCCTGTGAGAATGACTCGGTCTACCACACTAAGCTGCTGTGGATATTAATTTCAATTCTTAAGGGGTTGCTGCTTTTGCTTTTTTTCCCCAGTGCTTATGGCATGCCTCATTAGCCAGTTTCAAACACCTTATCCCCAAGGTCAGACTGTCTGACTTTGCCCGGCCATAGCACCATATGTGATGTGAATAACAGAGTTGCTGAAAAGCTTTTCTACTTGCACTGTGTAGCATTCCTCTTTGAGAAGGAAGACTTTTTGTTAATCAGTTTGCATTATTTCCATTTCACATATGGACTAAAAAAAAAAAAAAAAAAAAAAAAGGCATATTAAGGAGTCCTTTGTTTTGTCAAATACCTGACAAGAATGAGTGATATAGCCATTCCTGAGTTCATGGTTTTTCCCTTTGTGGTTCTTAATCCCGTTGCTCATTTTAGTTTTCCATTACATTATATCCTGACCCTGGAAGCCCAGAAAGTACATTTTAAAAGCTCCTAAAAATGGGAATACCATCAGTTTGTATCTTGGCTGTTTTTATCACTGGCCAGCTGAATGACCTGAGGCAGCTTATTGCTTATCTCTGAGCCCCGATTTCCCAGTAATAGAGCAGGCCTGGGAAGCTCTATCTTCCTAAGCTATTCTGAGGAAGAAATGAGAGAACACCATAAAAAGTATTTAGCACACTTTCCAAATAAACAGAAATTGAAAGAATTTGTCACCACGAAGCCAGCCCTACAAGAAATCCTGAGGGGGACGCTCTGAAGGAAAGGTTGCAAGGAACAAAGATACCAGAGACACCACCACAAACATGAACCCTACAAAAGATACAAAGACTCTAAACCCACATATTTCAATACTAACACTGAATGTAAATGGGCTGAATGCTCCAATCAAAAGACATAGGGTAGCAGAATGGATTAAGAAACAAAATCCATCAATATGCTGTCTACAAGAAACTCATTTTAGACGGGAAGATACCTTCAGATTAAAAGTAAGGGGATGGAGAAATATATATCATGCTACAGGAAATCAAAAGAAAGCCGGAGTAGCGATACTTATATCAGACAAACTGGACTTTAAATTAAAGACAATCACAAGAGATGAAGAAGGGCACTACATAATAATTACAGGGTCCATCCATCAGGAAGAACTAACAATCATAAATGTCTACGCACCGAATATGGGAGCACCTAAATATCTAAAACAATTAATCACAAACAGAAACAAGCTTATAGATAAGAATGTGCTAATAGCAGGGGACTTTAATACTCCGCTTACAGCAATGGATAGGTCAACCAGACAGAAAATCACTAAAGAAATAATGGACTTGAAAGACACATTGGACCAGATGGATCTGACGGATATATTTAGAACTTTACATCCTGAGGCCAGGGAATTTACTTTCTTCTCAAGTGCGCATGGCACATTCTCCAAGATAGATCACATACTGGGACATAAAGCAGCCCTCAATAAATATAAAAGAATAGAGATCATACCATGCACACTGTCAGATCACAATGCTTTGAAACTTGAAATCAATTACAGGAAGAAGTCTGGAAAACCGCCAAAAACATGGAGGTTAAAGAACACCCTTCTAAAGAATGAATGGGCCAATCAGGCAATTAGAGAGGAAATTAAAAAATATATGGAAACAAATGAAAATGAAAACACAACAATTCAAAATCTATGGGATGCGGCCAAGGCAGTCCTAAGAGGAAAGTACATTGCTCTCCAGGCCTATTTCAAGAGATTAGAAAAAGCACAAGTCCAAAATCTAACAGCTCACCTAAAGGAGCTAGAGGCAGAGCAACAAGAACGCCCTAAACCCAGTAGAAGAAGAGAAATAGTAAAAATTAGAGCAGAAATAAACAACATAGAGACCAAAGAAACAATTGAACAGATCAATGAAACCAAGAGTTGGTTTTTTGAAAAAGTAAACAAAATTGACAAACCTCTAGCCAGGCTTATCAAAAAGAAAAGAGAGAGCACCCAAATAGACAAAATTATGAATGAAAATGGACTTATTACAACCAACCCCTCAGAAATACAAGCAATTATCAGGGAATACTATGAAAAATTATATGCCAACAAATTGGACAACTTAGAAGAAATGGACAAATTCCTAAACACACACTCACTACCAAAATTCACACGGGAAGAAATAGAAAACCTGAACAGACCCATAACGAGTGAAGAAATCGAATCAGTGATCAAAAATCTCCCAACAAATAAGAGCCCTGGACCTGATGGTTTCCCTGGGGAATTCTACCAGACATTTAAAACAGAATTAATCCCAATTCTTCTCAAGCTATTCCAAAAAATAGAAGTCGAAGGAAAACTCCCGGACTCATTTTATGAAGCCAGCATCACTCTGATTCCCAAGCCAGACAGAGATCCAACAAAAAAAGAGAACTATAGGCCAATATCCTTGATGAATACGGATGCAAAAATTCTCAACAAGATCCTTGCAAATCGAATCCAGCAGCATATCAAAAGAATCATCCACCAAGATCAAGTGGGATTCATTCCTGGGTTACAGGGCTGGTTCAACATTCGCAAATCAATCAATGTGATCCATCATATCAATAAAAGAAAAGATAAAAACCATATGATCCTGTCAATAGATGCAGAAAAAGCATTTGACAAAATACAGCATCCCTTCTTAATAAAGACTCTCGAGAAAGTTGGGATAGAAGGAACCTACTTAAACATCATCAAAGCCATCTATGAGAAGCCTTCAGCTAACATCATCCTCAACGGGGAAAAACTGAGAGCTTTCCCCCTGAGATCAGGAACACGACAGGGATGTCCACTCTCACCACTGTTGTTTAACATAGTGCTGGAAGTCCTAGCATCAGCCATCAGACAACAAAAGGAAATCAAAGGCATCAGAATTGGCAAAGAGGAAGTCAAACTTTCACTCTTCGCAGATGACATGATACTCTACATAGAAAACCCGACAGACTCCACCAGAAGCCTACTAGAACTGATCCAAGAATTCAGCCAAGTTGCAGGGTACAAAATCAACGTACAGAAATCGGTTGCATTTTTATACACCAATAATGAAGCAACAGAAAGAGAAATCAAGAAACTGATCCCATTCACAATTGCACAAAAAACCATAAAATACCTCGGAATAAACCTAACCAAGGATACAAGAGATCTGTATGATGAAAACTATAGAAAACTTATGAAGGAAATTGAAGAAGACACAAAGAAATGGAAAAACATTCCATGCTCATGGATAGGAAGAATAAATATAGTTAAGATGTCATTACTACCTAAAGCACTCTACACATTCAATGCAATTCCAATCAAAATTGCACCAGCATACTTCTCAAAACTAGAACAAACTATCCAAAAATTTGTATGGAACCACAAAAGACCCCGAATAGCCAAAGTAATACTGAAAAATAAAACCAAAACGGGAGGTATCACCATCCCAGACTTCAGCCTCTACTACAAAGCTGTCATCCTCAAGACAGTATGGTATTGGCACAAAAACAGACACATAGACCAATGGAACAGAATTGAGAACTCAGAAGTGGACCCAAAAGTATACAGCCAACTGATCTTTGACAAAGCAGGAAAGAATATCCAATGGAAAAAAGACAGCCTTTTTAACAGATGGTGTTGGGAGAACTGGACAGCAACATGCAGAAGAATGAAACTAGATCATTTTCTCACACCATGCACAAAAATCAACTCAAAATGGATAAAGGACCTGAACGTGAGACAGGAAACTATCAACACCCTAGAGGAGAAAGCAGGAAACAACCTCCTTGACCTCCACCGCAGCAACTTCTTACTTGACACATCCCCAAAAGCAAGGGAATCAAGAGCAAAAATAAACTGTTGGGACCTCATCAAGATTAAAAGCTTCTGCACAGCCAAGGAAACAACCCAGAAAATTAATAGGCAACCAACGGAATGGGAAAAGATAGTTGCAAATGACATA